AGCAGGAGCTGAGGGCACCGATGGCCACCCTCACTGTCACCTCAGCTCCAAAGAGGACATCCCTGCTAAGATCCCACACACGAAGTTCAGCCAGGAACAGGTGATTAGCAGGGGGGATGCTCTTTGCTAAAGCTCACCTGGAACAGTTAATGAGCAAGGCCCCTGTCCCACCAGGTTCCCACTGCATTCGGCTGAGGCGCCCAAGAGAAGGTGCCCCAAGCCATCAGAAGTGAGCCTCAAGTGCGGGCGGAAAGGAGACGCTCTCTTCTTACCTGTAATGAAGCCCACGCAGATGTAGAGCTGCAGGATGCTGGTGCAGAAGGCGGCTGAGACCATCCCGATACCGCACAGCAGGCCTCCCAGTATAACCACGGGTCGGCTGCCATAGCGGTTTACTAAAACACTGCTAACAGGACCTGGGGAAAGAGGGGGAAAATGGTCCTTGAGGTAGACATCTTCTGACAGGAGGGTATGCTTGACACAAAGCAGGTAAAGCTCTGCAATATCGGTGCCCCTGAGGTGCTGCTGACAGCTTCCAGGGTGACTTCAGGAAGAAAATGGAAAAAGAGAGAAAGATGATCTGCACTCTGCGGAGATGGCAGTGTGTCCCATGCCACACGGTGGCTGTGCAGCCGGTGACAACTCCTGCCTCCAGGACTTTAAAGTGTCATCAGAGAAGGCAAACGGCACTAACAAATCAGCTGAACGCATGGCCCCAACGTAGGAGCTTCTTGATTTGTTATGATGCTAAACCACTCACACAAAGCAGTGGTTCATATTACGAGGCTGATATCATGAATACTGTTGCATTTTTAATGCCTCTATTTAATGCAATTCCGATACTGCTGACCAGGACGGACACTCCAGCAGAACAGTTGTTAATTAAATCTTAATAGCAGTCTATGTAAATCGAAACAGTTTGGGATGATGGATTAGCTGGAACTCGAAAGAACCAGTTTGGTCTTGCGTTTATGTAAAGAAGTGGTTCAGGAAAGTGAAAAATTACGAAAGAGGGAAACGGCTTAACTTAAAAGACTTGCACGCTGAAAGCAAGCATTGAAATCTGAGGCAGTGAAACATGCCAGCAGCTTTGGGCAGAGGAGGAAAGAAGGGAGGTCTTGTGTAGAGGAGTCTCAACTAGCTGGAGGACCAGTCAAAATCAGAATCACAGAGCAAGATACACTGGAGGGAATTCGAAGGTCTCGGGACCAGCCTCCTGCTCAAAGCAGAGCCAACCCTGAAGTCAGATGAGGCTGAGAAGTCAGAATGAGAGAAAGCAAACTGAGCAAGAAAGAGCGGTTTTTTTCCGTTCAGAAGTCAAGCTATGAGATGGAAGAAAAAGACTCTATACTACCCAAAAACTCTGAACCAAAAAGCTGCAAAAACAATGCTGGAAATGAGGCAGGGGGATACAGGCAGCATTTAGTGTCATATCTTACCTGACTATTTCTGGTGCTCCTCAGCACACAGCAATGGTGTTTCGGAGCCCATGTGCCTGTTTGCCTTCATTCCAGCTGTTACAAAGCCCACACTGTCCACATAGACTACTGGAAATGGGTATTTTAAGCTTTATAGGCATCTCTGAAGAGTTTAACTGTGGGATCTACCTCACCACAGAGCGATTTAGTAGGATGTTTTCCTTTACTTAAATAATCTTAGCCAGAAATAGTGCCAGAGCTCCTTCAGACCCTGCAAACCATGGCACAGTTGGGCACACAAGCTAGTCCCAAAAACCCCAATATCCCCTCAGCATGGCTGACAGCATCCAAACAAGTTCTCAGCTGTTACAACATGTAAGAAAAAAACAAACCAGAAGGTAAGACTGGTTTAATTTAGGGAATGAAGCCCATCATTACATCCGTAACATGTAAAATACTTTCCACTGGATGTAAGGTCAAAACACTCATAAATGAAATACACACCAGCACAGCCTTAACAGCATCCCTGTAACTGCGTGATCTGTGAGCTGGTCCCATTCAATTAAAATTTCTGTGAGTGTATAATTATGTGAAGAGTTTTTTTCTCCTAATCCTGTAACTGGATTCACATGCACGCACCCTTTTGCTGCACAGAGCACTACAGCATTCAGTGAGAGGTTCTGGGGAAAGAGAGATATGTGTCAGATCAGCACGGCAGGAAAGGGACCCCTTTCTCACTGAGCTTCTCCTGGTCAGGGCCTGGACTTGCATCACGCTTGAGCCGGTCTCAGTGTGTCCTGTAATTCAATAGATCGAGCTAGTGTTCCTCAGAAAGGCACCAACACATTCAGCAGCAGCCTAAGGGCACACAACTCTCTCATTTTTCAATTTTCCACATGTCCGCGTTTCTCCAGAATCAATCTAATTACTCAACTAAGAAAATGTGGTTTCAATTACCCTCTCCGGCTGGAAGGAGACTTTCACATTAGCCCTAAAACTAGAGAATGTCGTACCATGGAGCAGAGCATTTAAAGCCCAGGAGATTTCTGCTAAGGCCTCTCTCCTGCTCTGATTTGGGCCAGCTCCCAGGGAGAGAAGCCCCTGCAACGAGAAGTAAAACAAATGCTCACTTATGTCCTACTCTTGAAACATCCACTTCAGGAGAAGGGGAATATGGATCCACATCCCTCTTACTCCAGTCAATACGCTGTCGTACTGGCTTCACCCACCAGTAAGGATGGGTTTGGACTGTGATGGCAGATGATCAACTGGAAGGGGCTGAGGGTGGGACACGCTCTGCTCTGCTTCCCGGCTACAGGGACAACCCAGGGCAGAGGCTGGAGTAGATAAAAGCAAAAGCTTATATCCTGGCCATTGGCTTCACAAATGACAGCATCCTTCCTGTGCCCCTGGGGCACCCTCCATGAACGTGCAGTGTCCTCAACCACATCCCACCTTCCCAGTGATCACTTATGAAGCCATGAGACTGCAATTGCTCCCTGGTTTTGTCTTGTGTGATCTCTCAGCAACACTTTACAGCAGATCTACATGACCTTCAGCAAACAGCCTCCACTGCTGTAACCAGCATTACCAGTTTTACAGGGGGATAATCAGTCCCACTTGTTTGCCGCTCTAGGTGGGAGAGTTGTGGTCTCAAAGGTGCTAATCTGTCTGGGCTGGGCTGAGCACACAGGGAACTGTGATGAACTTCAGAAGCAACATGTCTTTCTCCTTCGCAGTCTGAAACCTGAAGTCCAGGCCTTGTGAGCCTCCTTGGCTAAAGCAGCACAACATACGGGATCGCCGCGCACACTTGTGAGTGACAGCATTTGACGTCCCTGACCAACCTCACCCACAAAGGACTGGGGGTCGGAGACCTCTGAGATATTAAATGCAGCCAGTTAGAGGAGAAAACAGGAGCAGAGCACCTGGAGTAAACCTTTCCTGGAGAATCCACAGCAAAGGCCATGATGAGCACCCAACCTGCAGGGAAAGCATCAGCTAGACCTACACTTTACAAGACACCAGAGAAGCCAACCCAAGGTCTCAAACAGTTTGGAAACCAAACTTCCCTGAGCTGCTGCTTGTAGGCCAAAGGTTTTGTAGCAGTCCTGAGCAGACCTTTCAAATGCATTGAAGCAAATGCAAAATCACATCATCACATCCCCAAAATTACTTCCACTTAAGTCATTTGGGCCTACAGAAACGTCCATAGGCTGTAATGGAGCAGCCTTTCAAAAGCTGTCCCGTCTCTCAGCAGAACCTGGCACACGCGATGTGTCACATCGCCGTGCACACTTCGCCACACAAACCCTGCCAACGCGGGCAGGTGCACGTACGCCTCCCCCCTGCCCAGATGTCTGCGGCCATCAGCATCACACCCAACAGACCTACACGCACCCCTCTTGCCCTGCTCTGCCATGTGCCACCTGCACTGTGCTTCTCACTGTGGGCTGAGTAGCCTTCAAACACCAGGTAACTTTAACAGCAGTGTTCCGGGGAGCTGCGGAAAACATCCATGGCTCAAGTCAGGGCAGAGGAATTAAGAGGAGGGAACGACAAAGCCAGCGCCGCAGTTGGGGGAAATCAGAAACACGATTACTGCTTTGCTTGCAGCTATTGCAGAAAGGGGAAGTGTCACAGCCCCTGGAAACACGGTGGAATGGAAAACAGGACCTGTCATTGACCAGTTGTTCGGCCTGCATGAATAGAATAAAGATGCCGTATATTACCACACAGAAAGCAATTATGGTCACAACGTGTGCAGCTTAGATCCCAAGGTTCCTTTACTTGCTAATACCTGCCTGCTCAGACATGGAGGAACCACAGGCTCCTGGTGATGGCATCCAGACTAAATCATCCTTCCTTCCTTCCTGTGAGCCGACGGCAGGAGAATCTGACAGGAGTCAGGGTGATTTTTGCCTCTTAATTTACAGAGCCAGGTGAGGACAGGGCAAGAGAAACAGCTGACAAAGCTCTCAGAAAGCCGCCATTTACCTGGCCTGACCTTGCAGAAGCAGTCAAGTGAATGCTGTCTAAGTCCCTGAGAAATCATGGTGAGGAGCAAAAGCCACCTCAGCTGCTGAGGGTGTTCCTTTTTCCAGACCCCAGCCCAGCCACAGCTAGTGTCACCCAGCCAGCGCTGTCCCCACAACCCCACCACCTTGGCAGCATCGTAACTTCTAACTAGGAAATCAGAAGTAAAATTTAATCATGCCCTTGCACCCCAATACAATACAAGGACAAGGCTGCTGACCCACGGGTGGCAGCAGCTGGTGCTTCGCTGTGGGAAGGGATGGCATTTCCACCCACCCAGTCACAGGAAACGAGGCAGCTCCTTCCACAACCCAGCAAGGGGCTTCCTCCCTCCCGATGAACTTCGAGCCACGGCCATCATTCATCATCCATCACAAGGCGATGACACAGGGCAGTGGAGGGCACAGGGGGATGCTGAGCCTTATCCTGCTGCTGGCTTTGCTCGGAGTTGTGCCCGTGGCTCTGCACCTGCCCTGGCTCACAGGGCACTGCTGGGGACACGCTCTGCAGCGGAGCCACCACCATCCCCTGGTAAGCGCGAGGACACCCTGCTCAGAAACACCTTGCTTTACACCCCAAGCCCTGACAGAGCAGAGGGCACCCAAAGCGGGTGTTCTGCCTGCAATAAAACTCCGCAGTCTGGAGAGTGACAGTTCGCACCGAATATCCCCGAAAGATGCTGCTGGGATCACGGCACTCCTGGAAGACTGATGTAATGTAAAGCGCTACTCTCAGCCCATATAAATCATGCTGGTTTAGTGCCTGTCCGGTATAAAGCCTCTCTTTTCTCATACCTGTGGCACATTTCCATTTGTTGTTAGCTGGTACATGAAAGGCCATGTCAAAGAAGCTGATCTTGGTGGCGAGCAAAACACAGTAACTCGCCAGTGGGAAATAAAGCAAGCCCTAACCCATTTGTTAGCTTGTCCAATTACTTTTCACCTTGAGTTTTGTGTTTGCAG